TTTATGATTTCATTTTTTCTACTAACTTTGGGTTTTGTTTGTTCTTCTTTCTGTAGTTGCTTTAAGTTGTAAGGTTAGGCTGCTGACTTGAGATGTTTCTTGTTTCCTGAGGTTAAGCTTGTATTGCTATAACTTCCCTTTAAGAACTGCTTTCGCTGCCTCCCACAGGTTCTGGGTGGTGGTGTTTTCATTTTCATTCGTCTGTAGGTATTTCTGGATTTCTTTGATTTCTTCAGTGATCCATTGGTTATTTAGTAGCATTTTGCTTAACCTTCATGGGTTCATGGTTTTTTGCAGTTTGTTTTTCCTTGTGTCTCTACATTTAAAGGCAACCAACCAACTCTGGATTTAGTTCTTTTTTCTTAAATGTCTTACTTTCTGGCCTATTGTTAAGAGAACCTTCTAGGATACAGATGAACTCCTAGACCCTAAACTAAGTCTGCAAGGATAGGCTGAAACCTTGCTCTAAAGGGTAACTTGACTGTCTCAGCCAGTGATTCTCAAAGGTGGTGCTAGGGCCAGCATCCCCTAGAAATGAGAGGAATATAGGCCCTCGGGTCCCATCCCAGACCTGCTGGGTTGGAAAGTCTGGGGTGGGGTCCAGTGATCCATTTATTCACAAGCCTTCCAGGAGACCTGATTCACGTTCAAGCTTGAGAACCACTGACCTAGAGTGGTGATTCTTAGGGGTAATCTCTGTCACACAGTAATGAGTCCAGTTCTCCCCAAACTCAGAGGATTTACTAGCACTGTGTGTGTTCTTCATTTCTAGAGTAAACATTCAGTGAACTCCTAGAGGGCCCCCTTTCCAGTTAGAGGACACGTGGCTCTGTGTAGCACACCGTTTTCAGAGATGGGTTTGAACATCTGACTTCAATTATCTATGATAAAGAGGACCTGGGTACTCAGAACATAAGAAACCCATTAATAAATTTGGTAATATTTAAGACTGGTGTTTGATCTCTCCCTGTGTCCTCTCAATCTTTACCAGATAAGCTAAAGGCACCAATGTCTCCTTGATTTCAGTTTGCTTCCCCTCCTTGCCTTGGCCAACTCCTGGCAGTAGAGTAGTCCTGCAGGGGAAGTCTAGAGATAGAGGCAGCCTAGATCATTCTCAAACCAGACCCACAGCCAGGTGACTTTCAGCAGTCATTCATTCCCCTCCTTGTTCCAGAAGGAGCTTAAAAAGATGTCTGTGTGATGATAAAGGAAAGGAAAGGAAAGGAAAGGAAAGGAAAGGAAAGGAAAGGAAAGGAAAAGAAAAGAAAAGAAAAGAAAAGAAAAGAAAAGAAAAGAAAAGAAAAGAAAAGAAAAGAGGGAAGGGAAGGGAAGGGAAGGGAAGGGAAGGGAAGGGATGAAGTCAGAGTAAAGGGGGAAGCAGACGGACATGATGCTGGTATGCAAAATGCCAACCGTGGGATCCTGTGCATATGTTTGAGAGATGAGCCTGCAGCATTTCATTACATGAGAAATCAAGGAAGCTAATGAAGACTCTTTAGGGTCATATCAAAGGACTCAGGAGTGAATCTAAACAGGTTCCCATGGGCCAAAGTTGAGAAATTACATTCCTCCGAATGAGCGTACACAAAGCTGGCTCTAAGCTTACTAGCAGCCAACATAAAGATGGAAACACAATCTGTTACATGATTTACAAGGTCCTTAAGATAAAAATAAACCAGTTGCTGAGGAAAAACACAAGTATTCCTGGTCTTGAGAGGAATTCCTTCCTTGGATCAGTTTGTGAAGAATCTATACTTGGCTGTTATTTTTAAAGCAATGAGAAAAAAAAAGAAAAGGACAAATCTCAACTTTATCATTATCTCTTAATCCTTGTTTAAAAACATATCTTCTATAATTAAAAGTTATTTAGAGAGCTGTCTAGAAATCTTGTGAAACTGTTACCAAGAAACAAACACTCAAAAACTGTCCCAGGTCGAACTTATACATCTGACTCCCCTGCAGCCCTCGACCCATAAAACAATAGTGTCAAGATTGCTCACAAAAACCCCCGGCCAAAATAACGCCCGCTCCAACCTTGAGACAGCAACACATATGCATGGGGGCACATGCGGGTGGGCATGGACAACACAAACACTGTTTCAAATGCTTCACTCTCACCAACAGTGTACTAGGGTTCCCCTTTCTCCACATCCTGGTCAACATTTGTTATTTGTAGATTGTGGTGATTCTCATGGACTCAGAGGTGCCCTTTCAATAGGGCTTGAATTTACAGATGGGGTCTTTGATCAAATGCTTTTCTGATGGGGTACTTTGAATATAAACGTTTCCAGATGGTACTGGGTGATTAAGAGTATTTACAGCAGATCACTGTCCTCTATTCACCTTACCTTTTATTCATTTGAGGGTACCAACACAGTCATTAAGTTCAAAATTATGTTCCCTGCTATATTAATGACAATATTAGTTTGACTACCCGGGTCAAATGAAATCTGGTCCCCAGATCTGTGGAAATTCTAAGCTACTCAGCCTTCCACACATCTGTATGTATATGTGTGAACAAACGCATTTATAGCTACACGATCTGTCCCCTTACTATTAAAACACTAATGCTTGTTATGAAAATGTAGTCAGTACATGTGGATATGATGTACATGCCCTGCATGTAGTACTTACTAGTAAACACTACGTGCTTTCCAGACATCAATTCAGTCTATTCTCACAACTTTCCTCCAGTCTAGGTACCTGTATCATCTCCGTTTTATAGACAAGAAAACTGAGTCACAGAGAAGTGAAGCAACTTGCCAAAGGACTCAGGGGTGATTGGAAGGGCCGGCATTAGACCTTAGCCTAGTTCTGGTGTCCATATGTTGTCAACCACCAAGCTATTTTATCTCTCTATGCTCTGGAACCCATAGTATTTAATGACTGCTGTGAACATGTACCTAGATTTTAAACTATCTATGTATACAAACAGCTTCAGAAAACCGAAAAAGCTGTTAAGTAAAAGCTCTACAGTCCGGAGTTTGAGCTGGAAGTGCCAGCATCAACTCATGATGTATTTGATGTATTTAATCACTAAACAATAACAAAAATAAAAAACCTACACATACATCTTGGCTGTTTCTACTGAAATGGCCTAGAACAATGAAGACCCCAGTAGCAGTGAGCGCCCCTAGCACCCAGAGCCGGTTTTTCCCCCAGTAAAAGGAACCAGGACTTCTTGGATAAATGTACAATGTAAGCCCAGAACACCTTGTCATATGAGGAATTAAGAACTCCTAGGATCGTGTCGAAAGACTCAGGAGACCATCTGAATCGGTGCCGATTGGCCAAAGATGAGACATTACGTTCCTCCTAGTAGAGGTGTTTTGAAAGAAAGAAGAAACAATCTGATTCTGATCAAGCCTTTAGATCGAACACCAGTTTGCAGGACACAGGGCAGAAGAAAAGGTGAAACGACACCACAGTAAAGGTAGCAGCCAAACTCAGACCGTGGGAAGTTGTATAGGACACACAACTGTTTAACTCCGTTCCTTCCGTAAAAAAATATTTCAAGACAGCGCGAAAGGAGCTATATAGAGGGCAGATCTATATACAGAAAGAAACCCAGAGCACTGGGGGTGAAAATCCTGCATTCAACTCCTCACAGTTTGTACATCAGGGGTTCCCTTCTGTAAACTGTCAATGAAAACGAGAGGTGCTCAAAATCCACGGTCTATTAGCACCTTGCCCACTTCTCCCTGGACATCACTCACCGCTCCTCCATGAGTTCCCGGATAGAGGCGACTGTGGGGCCAGATCCCAGATGAGTATAATATGGACCTTCATCTTTCTCCACTATTTGTTCTGCAGAAACACAGAGTAAACATTATCTGGAGACACCAATTCATCAGCATTCATTTAGAAAGGCAAACCACCAACTGGAAAAGTAATGGCACGTTACAAAACAGGAAATTCAAATGGCTTATAATAAACATGCGAAAATGTGTTCAACCCATTAGAAATCAGGAAATACAAATTAAAATCACAATGAAACACCATCACACACGGACCAAACTGGCAAAAAAATTTAAAATCTGATAAAACTATGCGTTGTCAAGACTGTAGTCTAACCACTTTGGAAGTCAGTTTATCACGATACATATTCTAGACCAGGGTCAGCAAACCACTCCACTCCTAGGTACATACCCGAATGGACTGAAAACAAAGACTCAAACGGCACCTGGATGCAATGTTCACTGCAGCATAATTCACAGAGCCAAAAGGCGAAAACAACACAGCTGTCCACCAACAGATGAACAAAATGTGGTATATCCATACAATGAAACATTACTTGATCAGAAAAAAAGAATAAAGTTCCGATACATACTGCAACACGGATGAACCTGGAAAACGGCAGGCTGAGTGAAACAAGCCACACATACAAGGACAGATATTATACTTTTCTACTTTTATGAAATACCTAGAATAGGCAAATTCAATGAGATAAATATTAGATTAGAAGTTACCAGGAGCTGGGAGGAGTGAGGAATGGGGAGTTATTGCTTAATGGGTACAGAGTTTCTGTTTAGGGTGTTGAAACAGTTTTAGAAATAGTGGTGATGGTTGCACCATACTGTGAATGCCACTAAACTGTACACTTTATAATGGTTAAGATGGCAAATTTTACCACAATCTGAAAAAAAAAAAAAAGGAATGGAGTACTGATACATGCTACAATGTGAGTGAACCTTCAGAAACACTGTGGAAAAAAAAAAAGCCAGGTACAAAGTATCACGTATCACAGGATTCCATCCATATAAAATATCCAGAATAGGTAAATCCAGAGAGACAGAAAACAGATTATGGCTGCCAGAGGCTAGGAGGAGGGAAGAATGGAGAGTCATTACTTAAAGGGGACAGGGTTCTATTTTGGAGTGAGGAAAGTGTTTTAAATCTAGACAGAGATGATTATTTCACAACATTGTGAATGTACTAAATGTCATTGAACTGTTCATTTTAAAATTAATAATTTTATTTTATTGAAGTTCACTACAATTTTAAAAAAAAAGGAACAAGCTACTGATTCACAGAACAACATGGATGAATTTTTAATGAATTTTTCTAAGTGAAAGAAACGAGACTGTTAAGACGGTGTAATAGTAACTCTGGAAAACAGTACTTTGGATACTGTAAGGCTATAAACAAAAAGAACTTCACACAAATACTATTCCACAGCGGGTAAGTTCATTTCCCACCTGGGGAGATATACAACTAAGTGCAATGTGGTGTCATGCAATAGGTCCTAGAACGGAAGGACATTAGTGGAAAAACTGACGAAATCCAAAGAGTCTACAGTTAATAGTATTGTACTAATGTTAACGTCTTAGTTTGAAATGTACCGTAATCATTTAAGACATTGATACTAGGGGATGTGGGGTAACAAGTATACACGAAATCTGTACCAACTCTGCAACTCTTCCATGAACATAAAATCATTTCAAAATAAAAAGTTTAAAAAAACTAACAAACAGAACCAAAAAACTATGTAAAGTACCCTAAATTGCTGATCCTGTCCTAGAAGAAATCTTTGTCACATACATCAAGACACGTACAAGGATTTTTACAGCAACATTATTAGCAGTAGTCAAAAATGGAAACAACTTACAAATCCAGCAACAGTGGAAAGGATAATAAAACATAACAGAGCCATGTAACAGCGTATGTTCACAGCAGTGAGACCTGTCAAGGCGCTGCAGCACGGCCAGATACCACACCGCCACCGTTGAGTGAAACAGACACCGCACACAGCAAATACACTAAGATTACACTCAAATAATACTTAAAACCAGGCTCAATTAAACTATACTGTCTAGAGATCCACACACAGGTGGTGAAATTACTAGGCTGAAATATAAAATTCCAGATATTCAATGATTTTTTTATACAAAAAATGGCAATTTCATATGGTTCAACCTTAAATGAAAGAAAAACAAGGAAATCATTGCCACAAGTCAAGAGCGTGGTTGCCTCTGGGGGATGGGAGACGGCTGTGACTGGGACAGGTACACAGGGGACTTCTAGGGAACTGGAAACGGCCTCCTTCTTGATCTAGGTGGGTGGTTACGCATGTGTTCATTTTATAATTTTCATTAAACTGTACTTGCCTATATATGGAACTCACAATTTTTAAAACGTAAAAAAAAAATTAATGTCCTACCTATTCTACGCAGAACATTATGCTCAGCTTTGCGGGGAGAGCAGGACAGGACAACAGCTGCTCGGGCCTTTAAAGCGTTTGTGGCCTAGCTGGGTAGGTAAGACCCTCACACAAGAAGACACGTTGATGGGGAAAGGGTAATTTTTCAAACCATGGTGTTGGGACAACTGGGGGAAAATTTCATCCATACTTCATACCTTACCCCCAAATACATTCCAAATGGCTGAAAGATTTAAATCCAAAAAATTCAAACTATACGAGTTCTAGAAGAAAAACAATGAATGCGTTTTAAAAAAAATAATCATGGAAGTGGGAAGGCCTTCTCTAAGTATAACATGAAATTCTGGAGCTAACACGCACACACCAAAATACCAACAAGTTTAACCAAAGAAAAATGGATAGTAATAACTTCCGAAAAGTCAAGCGCCACACTGGGGAGCCATATCTGGAACTCGGGCAAAAGGCTGCTTTTCTTTAACATACCAAGAGCTCCTACAGTTAAAGAAGGTCAACAACACAATAGAAAAATGTAAAAAATATATAAAAATTGGTTCTTTCAAAGGGAAATGAAAATGGCTCAAACATACGTAAAGGACCAGTTTTACCTTTCGGATGAGTCACCATCAAAGGCTGATAACGCCTCGCGTTGGTGGGGGTGCAGGAAGGTGATTTAGCAATACGTTAAAATGACAAGTGGCCAATCCGTCTGACTCAGCAATTTCAAAGAATGCCAAGTTCTTCTAAGAATTTATTTCCAGGAATTTGGATATACTTGCATACATACAAAATGATATATATATACAAGCATATTCACTGTATCATATATAATGGAAAAATCTTAGAGGTCTAAATGTCCACAACACGTTAGGTGTTATAAACACATGATACCCAGGAGTGGGATTGCTGGATCACAGGGTAAGTCTATTCCTAGTCTTTTGAGGAATCTCCATACTGTTTTCCACAGTGGCTGCACCAACCTGCATTCCCACCAGCAGCCTAGGAGGGTCTGATCACGCCACTTCTCACCGATGACTCCACGCTAGACACATTTCAGAGCACAGTCCACAAGGCCCCCGTGAGCCATCTTTGCACACCTCCCAGCCTCGCATCCTACAACAGCCACCACAGCTTCTTCTACATAACCATTCAAGGAATTAGGCAGCTTCAGATTTACTGATTAAAAAATGACCTCCCAGGTATTCTAAGTGGGAAGACAAGCAAATTTCAGTATAGCGTGTATACTATGCTACAGCTAGCATCCACACAATCACACGTACATCACTACAGACACACACACACGTGCAAGTATAAAGATGTGTATGTCATTACCCACACTAAGAGTAAGTGTAAGAGCAAGTTTGTGAAAATGAGTTCAGTTGCGTTTCTGGTTTCAAATGAACAAACAAAAGGTTGGCAACGGTGTGTGCAGTCCAGCAGACGAGCTGATGGAAGTTGGCTACCACTTACGGCTTCCACTCACAGGGACTCTTCACGCCCCTGAATTACTGCCATGGTCTCCTACCTGGCCTCAGCCCTCCTAGGTCATCCCACTCAACACCAGCAGTTATGCTCCCCAAACAGAAATTTGATCACGCCACTGCTCACCGACGACTCCACGCTAGACGGGACACACATTTCAGAGCACAGCCCACAAGGCCCCCTGGAGCTATCTTTGCACATCTCCCAGCCTCGCATCCTGCAACAGCCACCACAGCTCCTTCTACATAACCATGCAATACCCCTGTGTCTTGAAACACGTTTTCTCATTGACAACAGTGCCTTCCTCTAACTCTTTCTTTGGAAAAAGACAGGTATGAAGACCTAATTTAAATGCCATCTTTTCTGTGAAACCCTAATGGACTTCTCCTTTTCGCCCTGGACTCCCAGAGTACCTTGCAGCAGCAAAAACATCAAGGCGTGTATCAGTTTTTTATTGTTAACGTGTCACAGCAGAATGAACACAGTTTTGCAGACAGAGACCTGGGCAACTGTGATGGGTTATTTTCCCAGCCTCTCTGTAATCCTCACACCTTCTTGTGTAAAAGACGTGAAGGGCTCAGAGCAGCACTTGGTGCATAAGATGAACTCTGTATGTAGTTGCTGTCCAGGCTCTGCCAACCAAATAGTCTGACTGTGACCAAGCGGCACAAGCCTTATGAGCCTCAGAGCAGCTAAAGGAATGTTTCTACATTACAGAACCGTTGAGAATGAGATGAGATGGAAGGTACCTAGCACAGGTTTCAGCCCACCCATGTAAATGTTTCATGAGTGAATGAGTATTTTCAACTAAAGGATTAAAAATCACTTGCTCCAAATATACACTATTTTGAGCCATAAAACAGAGGTTACAGAAGGATGGTTGTGAAGTGGGGGGGCGGGGAGGAGGAGACCAAGGTATGAGGAGGGAAAGAGAACGTGAGAACATGGGTGCTGGAGGTAGTGGTCTGAAGGGTCTTTACAGGCACTAGGATACTACAGAAAACAGAATATAAGAACATGCCAGGATGTTCTGGGCTCTATTCCAGTTTCTACAGCCTGGAGAAAAGTCAAAGTAATAGACTGACTGCAGAGTCTTACCCTGGAACTAGAATATAACTTACTTTTTGGTGATAATCTTCTGCCCCGAATCAGAAAAAACTCAAAACTTACACAGTTAAGGGCAGAGAAAGGAGATTTTCAAGAAGAAAATCATGGCAACTCCATTCCAGAAGCTAGGAAAAAAAGATATGAAGATCCTAAACGAAGCTAACCTGGAAATTAGATGGTCAGGTTCTGCCAGGAAGGCCACCAACAAACACAAAGGGCAGATGCAGCTCCAAGTGCCAAACAAAGCCAAAGCCACAACCCCTCTTCTCACAGTTTATCAGGCAGCCAAGCAGTCATTTAGAAGTCCTGTTTCTTTTAATTACATCCCTTTCCTTGAATATATATCTTCATGTATACATTCCTTTCCCTGATTAGATGTCTGTATGGGGGAGAGGATATTCTGTGGGAAGAAATTGGACTTACAACCAAGTATGCCTAGTTATGAAACCAGTATACATTCCCTAATTTAATTCTCCTAATTAACATATGCATTTACATATATATGAGGAGATACATATATATCACCACAGTATGTACCCTCATCTTATTTACATACACACGTATCTTCTGTGTGGCAATGGACTTGTACTTAGTTGCAGTGCCAGACAGGTGGCAATACTTTGCAAGGTTGGGGTAAGGGTCTATGGAATACAGTATATGCTCTGATTCAATGACAAATACGTGCTTCTGTTTTCCCATCATGAAATAAGGTTTATTAACATTCTCGGTGCTGTTTAGTGCTATTAATCAAATTTAACGGATGAGTTTACCCTATTTATATTGATTACTGTAACACATGCATGGTCTTCTGCCATTTTATGTTTTCTATGTTAATGTTTCCTTGTTTTCTTTTAAAAACTATTTTATTACAGGTTTTGTATAGTGTGAATAAGTACACTACCTTTTGTTTCAGAAAAATAATGGTCACAGTTATTTAGACTTTACATTTGAATAATTTAGTGTTCACTGCCAGCCCCTTCACACCGCAGCTTCTCCAATCTGTTTCTTATTTGATTCATCTCCAGAAAATTAGAGTTCGAGCGTATTTGGCAATGTTTTTTTATGAAGCCTTTACACATGAATGGCAACTTTACTGGGCACAGAATTCTTAGGTCAAACTTTTTATCTCAGTATTCTGAGAACTGCAATATATATATATATATATCTCCAACAAAGAACTCATATTCAGAATAAAGAACACTTACTGATCAATAAGAAGAAAACAGAAACACGACAGAGAAACGGGCAAATGGCTTGAGCAGGTACTCTACGAAAGGGACACACGAAAAGGTACTCAATCTCATTAGTCACCAGGGAAATGCAAAGTAAAGCGCCAATGAGATACAATTATACACCTACCACAGTGGCAGAAAGCCGCTGACGTTCTATGCTGGTTTCAAGGTGGAGTGCTGCTGGTGGGGGCTTAAACTGCTACAACCACTTTGGAAAAGGGATAGTACTTAGTAAGCATACACAGTTTCATCCCTAGGTATATCTCCAACAAAAACATGTAAGTGCGTACATCCATGTGCCAAGAGATGCACATAAGAACATCTTATATCAGCTATAACCGTAACTGGGAAACAGTGTAAAAGACTGTCGACAATCTAATGGACAAATGGTAGTACGTTCATAAAATGGAATACTGTGTGTACAGCAGTGAGGATGGATGGACTCCAGGCACTGCTATACACACATGCATGAACCTCACCAACACAACATCGAGCAAAAGGAGCCAGAATTCAAAACAACACTTACAGACGAAGTTCAGGAAAAGGCAAAACTGATCCATGTGGCTAGAAGTTAGAACAGTAGTAACCCTAGGACAGGAGCCAGCAGACTTTACGTAAAGGGCCAGATGGCAAGCATTTAAGGCTGTGCAAGGCATGCAGTCTCTGTGTTACTACACTCATCTTCTGACGTGGTGCACCAGCAGCCACAGACTGCACACACACAAACGCGCATGACTGTGTTTCAGTAACACTTCATGGACATTGAAATCTGAATGTCATATAATTTTTATGAGTCATGAAATACCATTCTTTTGATTTTGTTAAAAACACACAAAAAAAAACTGTTTGGGGCCCACAGAGGTTGGTCAGATTTGGTCTGCAGGCCATAGTTTGCTTTAGGGGGTCAGGTGTAAGTGACCAGGCTGGGGCACAAGTAGGCTTCTGACATGCTGGTAAAGTTCCATCTCTTGATCTAGATGTGGTTACAGAAGTACATGCCTTTTGTTAAACTGTACAGGCACACCTCATTTTATTGCACTTCGCAGATACTGTGTTTTCTTTCTTTTTTTTTTTTTACAGATTG